GTGCTGAACGAGGGCGACAGGATCGTGCTGTGCGGTCTGAATGGCCCGATCGTCACGCAGGTGCGTGCGCTCCTCACGCCACAACCGCTCAAGGAGATGCGTGTCAAGGGCTCGTACGTGCACCACAAGCAGGTCAAGGCCGCGCTCGGTGTCAAGATTGCTGCGCCTGACCTGGAGAAGGCCGTGGCCGGCTCGCGTCTGCTGGTTGTCGGTCCTAATGACGACGAGGAGGTGCTCAAGGAGGATGTGATGAGCGACCTCACGAGCATGCTCAACTCGGTCGACACCTCTGGCCGCGGCGTGTGCGTGCAGGCCTCGACGCTTGGTTCGCTCGAGGCGCTGCTCGAGTTCCTCAAGCAGAGCAAGATCCCTGTGTCGGGCGTGAACATCGGCCCCGTGTACAAGAAGGATGTCATGCGCTGCGCGACCATGCTGGAGAAGGCGCCCGAGCTCGCCTGCATGCTCTGCTTCGATGTGGCTGTGGACAAGGAGGCGGAGCGCCTCGCCGAGGAGATTGGTGTGCGTCTCTTCACTGCGGACATTATCTACCATCTCTTTGACGCATTCGTCGCATACAACACAGAGATCACCGAGAACAAGAAGCGCGACGCTGCGAGCACGGCCGTGTGGCCCTGCCGTCTGCGCACCATCGCTGCGTTCGCGAAGCGCGATCCGATCATTCTCGGCTGCGACATTGTCGAGGGCTCGCTGCGCATTGGCACGCCTCTCTGTGTGATCAAGACCGACCCGGCCACGCGCAAGCGCGAGGTGATTACTCTTGGCCGCGTGACCTCGCTCGAGATCAACCACAAGGCCCGCGACGTGGTGTACAAGAAGGACGTCGGTGGCGGTGTCGCTGTGCGCATCGAGCCCGGGCTGAACGACACGCCCAAGATGTTCGGCCGTCACTTTGACGAGAAGGACGAGATATACTCGCTCATCTCGCGGCAATCCATCGACGCGCTCAAGGACCACTTCTGGGAGGGTGTGTCTATTGATGAGAAGCGGCTTATCAAGCACCTTAAGCCGCTGCTTGATATTCCATAGCGGTAATATGACGTAAGCCATGAGTCAAATCAATAATTATAGACAAGCCACTAAGCGCGCAAAATCGTTTTGAGCTTGTCTAATGCCTTATTGTATTCGCGCTGGGGGAGTGAGGCCTCTGCTCGCCCTGCGCTCCGCCGTGCGCGCGTTCGGAACTAGCGCCGCGCTCGCCCGTGTGTCCAAGCCATGTGCATCGCCGGCTGCGACCACCGCCCGCGCAGCTACGCAGGCGACGGGTGCTGCAGGAATCGAGCGCTGGCGCCGCTACCTGCCTACTGCGCCGCGCGCCGACGTGCGCAAGGTCGTGCTTGTAGGCTCCGGCGGTCTCAGCATCGGACAGGCCGGTGAGTTCGACTACTCTGGCTCGCAGGCCATCAAGGCCCTGCGTGAGTCGGGTATCGAGACTGTCCTTATCAATCCCAATATCGCGACTATCCAGACGTCGCACGAGCTCGCGTCGGAGATTTATTTCCTCCCGATTTCGCCTGACTACGTCGCCTACGTGCTCGAGAAGGAGCGTCCCGACGGTGTGCTGCTTACCTTTGGTGGCCAGAGCGCACTCAACGTCGGCGTCAAGCTTGACGAGATGGGCGTTTTCGAGCGTCTTGGCATTCAGGTGCTCGGCTCGCAGGTGGATGTGCTGCGCATGTGCGAGGACCGCGAGCTCTTTGTGCAGGCGCTCGACCAGATCAACATCCCCGTGGCCCGCAGCGAGGCGGTCTCGACTGTGCCTGAGGCCCTCCGTGCCGCCGAGGCGATCGGATACCCTGTGATCGTCCGTGCCGCCTACGCCCTCGGTGGTCTCGGCTCGGGCTTCGCGGACAACGAGGAGGAGCTGCGCGACCTCAGTGCGCGCTCGCTCAGTCTCAGCCCCCAGATCCTCGTCGAGAAGAGTCTCCGTGGCTGGAAGGAGTCCGAGTACGAGGTTCTGCGCGACCAGCAGGACAATGCGATCATCTGCTGCAATATGGAGAACTTTGACCCGCTCGGCATCCACACGGGCGACTCTATCGTGGTCGCCCCCTCGCAGACGCTCAGCGACGACAACTACCACATGCTCCGCACGGCCGCGCTCAAGGTCATCCGCCACCTCGGCATCGTCGGCGAGTGCAACATCCAGTATGCGCTCAGCCCCGACTCGCGCGAGTACCGTGTGATCGAGGTGAACCCCCGTCTCTCGCGCTCGTCGGCGCTCGCGAGCAAGGCTACGGGCTACCCGCTTGCCTACACGGCCGCGAAGCTCGCCCTCGGCCACACGCTCCCCGAGCTCCCTAACGCCGTGACCAAGACGACGACCGCATGCTTCGAGCCCTCGCTGGACTACATTGTGACCAAGATCCCCAAGTGGGACCTGTCCAAGTTCCAGCACGTGAACCGCCAGACGGGCTCGAGCATGAAGAGTGTCGGCGAGGTGATGGCTATCGGCCGCAACTTTGAAGAGTCGCTGCAGAAGGCCGTGCGCCAGGTTGCGCCGGCCTACCAGGGCTTTGACGCGTATGTCGTGCCCAAGGACCTCGACTACGAGCTCGAGGTGCCGACCGACACGCGTCTCTTTGCCATCGCGTATGCCATGCTGGTCAAGAACTACGACGTTGAGCGCCTGCACCAGCTGACCCGGATCGACCGCTGGTTCCTGTTCAAGCTGCAGAACATTGTCGACACCCACCGCGCACTCGAGGCCACGGAGAGCCTCAGCAACGTCGACACTGAGCTCCTCCGCCTCGCCAAGCAGCGTGGCTTCTCGGACGTCCAGATCGCCCGGCTCGTCGGCTCCGACGAGGCCTCTGTGCGTGCGCACCGCAAGGCGCTCGGCATCACGCCGTTCGTCAAGCGCATCGACACTGTCGCCGCCGAGTACCCCGCACAGACGAACTACCTCTACACGACCTACAACGCGTCCTCGCACGATGTCGAGTTTGATGAGCACGGCACGATGGTGCTTGGCTCGGGTGTCTACCGCATTGGCTCGTCGGTCGAGTTCGACTGGTGCGCGGTCACGTGTGTCCGCCGCATCAAGTCTATGGGCCACAAGACGATTATGATCAACTACAACCCCGAGACTGTGAGCACCGACTATGACGAGGCCGACCGTCTCTACTTTGAGGAGCTCGGCTTCGAGCGTGTGATGGACATCTACGAGCTGGAGGGCGCCACTGGTGCCGTCGTCTCGGTCGGTGGTCAGCTGCCCCAGAACATCGCGCTCCGCCTCAAGGACTCGGCTGTGAATGTGCTTGGCACTGACCCCCTCAAGATCGACTCGGCCGAGGACCGCCACAAGTTCTCCAAGATCCTCGACACGATCGGCGTCGACCAGCCCGAGTGGGTCGAGGCCACCGACCTCGAAACGGCCAAGGCGTTCGCCGAGCGCGTCTCGTACCCCGTGCTTGTCCGCCCCAGCTACGTTCTCTCGGGCGCCGCCATGAACGTGATCTGGGACGAGTCGACTCTTGAGCACAACCTCACGATGGCCGCCGAGGTGAACAAGGAGCACCCCGTCGTGCTCACCAAGTTCATCCCCAACGCGCAGGAGATCGACGTGGACGCTGTGGCATACAAGGGCGAGCTGCTTGTCCACGCGATTTCTGAGCACGTCGAGAACGCCGGTGTGCACTCTGGTGATGCGACTCTTGTTCTGCCGCCCTTCTCGCTTGGCGACGGCGACATGGCCCGTCTGAAGGACATTGCGCAGCGTGTTGCACGTGCCTTTGAGATCTCTGGTCCCTTCAACATGCAGATCATCCGCAAGACTCGGCCCGACGGCGACGCCGACCTCAAGGTCATCGAGTGCAACCTGCGTGCCTCGCGCTCGTTCCCCTTTGTCAGCAAGGTGCTTGGCGTCAACTTTATCGAGGTTGCTACTAGCGCTATTGTGGGCGAGGATGTGCCTGAGCCCGTGGATCTCATGGCCAAGCGCTACGACCACGTCGCTATCAAGGTGCCGCAGTTCTCGTGGACCCGTCTGGCCGGCGCTGACCCGTACCTTGGTGTCGAGATGGCCAGCACCGGTGAGGTCGCCGCCTTTGGCAGCGACATCCACGAAGCCTACTGGGCCTCGATTGCCTCGACCACCGGTTTCCGTGTTCCCCAGCCGAACAAGGGCGTGCTCCTTGGCGGTGACGTGAACAAGCCTGAGCTCCGTCTCTGTGCCGAAAAGCTGTACAACCTTGGCTTCAAGCTGTACTGCTCGAACGCCAAGGTCGCCGAAATGATCAACTCGATTCCTCACGTGAGTGCCAAGCGTATCTGGTTCCCTGTCAAGGACAAGCGCAAGCTGCGCGAGGTGTTTGACGAGCACGAGATCCAGTTCGTGATTAACCTCGCCAATGCTCGTGGCCGTGACACTCTCGACGAAGACTATGTTGCCCGTCGTAACGCAGTCGACTTTGGTCTGCCGCTTATTAACGAGGCCCGCACTGCCCAACTCTTTGTGGAGACTCTGGAGAAGCGCATGCCTCAGGGCTGCCTCCAGCCGTACTTTGAGGGCAAGATCCCTAGCGAGGTCCGCTCGTGGCGCGAGTTTGTCCCGCAGGCATAGATTTATCTTGGATAAATTACAGAAAAAGAAAAAAGGAATGGAATGTCCTGTCTCTCCCAAATCTCATTCATGTACACGAAGGGTGCCCCCATAAAATAATATGACTGTTAGAAGGACTGCACTGCATGTTTCAATGAACAACGCCGGCGCTGGACAGTGTACCACTAGACTAGCAATGCAGATTACTCCATGTCCACCGGGAAGATAAAAAACACAAGTCCGCACCACGCACACAAAAAGATATCGCTCTGAATGGAGATTATGGGAATTGAACCCATGGCCTCATGCAAGTTTAATGCTAAGCAAGCGCTCTACCACTGAGCTAAATCCCCGAGGGTGTGGAGATTATGGGAATTGAACCCATGGCCTCATGCATGCTAAGCAAGCGCTCTACCACTGAGCTAAATCCCCGAGGGTGTGGAGATTATGGGAATTGAACCCATGGCCTCATGCAAGTTTAATGCTAAGCAAGCGCTCTACCACTGAGCTAAATCCCCGACGGTTGTGCGACTATTTCAGAAAAGCATACATCTTACGGCCGGCGCAGCATAGCCCTTGCTTTGCTAATGTCTTCTGTTTCGTTAGAGTTCGCGCACGTACCAAGTATATCGTAAAAGCACCATTCAACAGCATCTGCAGCCCAAAAGTGATCACAGTGTTCTGCGCCAGGCACGATCTTCGTCCTGAGCAAATGTACATGCGGCTCATGAGCGAGTCGCGCACGGAGTCTGTGCACGTCGACAAGCTTGTCGTTTCCTCCGGCATAGAGAGCAACGGGCGGAAAGTCCTCCTCAAACCACTGCTCCTCCTGCTCATCAAGGATACATCCACGCGCCGCGAAGCCGCCCATTCCGGCCCACCAGTACAGCGTCTCTGACGACACTGGCTGTGGGGTGAATCGGAACATCTTGGGCTTGCGGCGCAAGAGCCAGTGGGTGTCGTTCCAGTCGAACAGGAAAGCAAACATCTGGTACCCCAGTGCTGCATATGGCCTAGCGGGGGTCCAGTCGTACGAAACTGTCAGCATGTACGCACACTTCATAAGCGGGACAAAGTCCATCACGCCAAAGATCTTGACCCAGCGGTGCTTATCGACGTGAGCAAGGTACTTGAGGGGGAAGCGCGACACCAGCGGGCCCGTGTATGCCGCCGGTGCGAGCGCGCAAAAGTATGAGATGCGCTTGCCGATGTCAGGAACAATGCCGCTGTGCAGTGCAAGGAAGAGAATCGCGTTTCCCTGCGAGTGGCCAATGTATGCAAGCGTCTCGCTCGATGCGTCGCGACACACATAGTCGACTAGCGCGGGCACGTCGTACTGCGCCAGGTCCTGGATAGTGTAGTCCCAGAACCGTGGGTCCCAGCGCGAGTACTCGCGGTGGCCCATGTCGAAAATGCCGCGGTTGTTGCCCAGATAGACTGTGTAGCCCTGGCTCGCGAGCCAAAACGCAAGACTGCGCTCCTCGGACGTGACGAACGAGCCGGAGGACTGGAACAGGCCATGCATCAGCAACACGGGGTAGCCCTTCTTGGTCTCGTTCGGGGGCACCACCCGCTGGAGACGCAGATAGTAGCCGTCCTGTGTCGTAACCGTGTGGTCCTCCAGGTCAAAGCCGCATTCCTGCGCATAGTAGCGCATGTCCTTGACGAGCTTCTCGTTAGCGAACAGCTCTGGGCGGTCCCACTCGCGCACGAGCTCTTGTCTTCGTGTGAGCATCCGTGGAATCGCGCCTACAAAGCGCGCGATGAGTCCAATGATGACAAGTGAAATAAGGATTACAGACGAGAGTATCACTGCGATGGTCTGGTCCACCCAGAACCTGAACGTCGCGCTGGTTGGGCGCGGCAGAGCATGCTCGTGTGGTCTTACACGGGCATCAAGCTGCTTTGTGTGCCGAAACGTCTCGTCGTCTGCAAACGACATGTGCGGCAGAGCGGGCTGGTGTATGTGCACGCGGCGCGTGTGGAGAAATGTGGGGTGGGGTGACAGGGTGTAAAGGCTATTTATATTACTGCTGCTTCTTGTCACGAGCGGCGCGCGACAGTTGGCCGATCTTGTCGGGCGTCTGTGTTGTGCCGATGAGCCAGAGTGCGTTGATGGCAAAGAAGATCAAAAACGCAGAGACGCCGAGCACAAGCACAGTTGTGGACGAGAAGAATGCGTAGTGGTCAAACACGCTCTTGTAGTGCTTCTTCTCCTGTGCTGGAAGCGCACGCTTTGCGTGTGTCGCGCCCTCCTCGCCGTGGATAAGTATGAGCACCTCTGGGTACGAGGACTTGAGTGCGTTGATCTCGTCGTTGATAGAGTTTTTGCCGTCCTTGACACTGTCGTAGTGCTTGTTCACAACCTCGGGGCCCTTGGAGCAGTTCGACTTGACTGCCTTTGTGAGCTTGGCTGGGATCTGCTCGCTGTCGTCGACGTTGGCGTAGACGAGCACCTTGGTGCTGTCGAGCAGCTTGCGGTAGAGCGAGTTCCTGCCCGAGGCGAGCTCCTTGAACGAGTCGTCCTGGAGGCCCTTGACGGACGCGATGAACACCTTGTCCAGGTCGCAGATCTCCTTGTTGGAGCCGCCGCGCAAAAGACGCTTCACGACGTCGTCTGCAGCCACATTAACTTCGGGCTCGGTGAGGTATTCAACTGGACGGATGAGATTCGAGTTGCTCTCCGACGGGATGACCGCCACGAATGGTGAAGAGAATGCATGTGCGCCAGCGCAGACAAGCGCAAAGATAGGCGCCCAGGACACGCGCATATTTAGCTTAGCTGGTGGTGCGGGCGGAGCGGGCAGCGCTGACTAAGTGCGTCCACGTGTACCTTTAACCATGTCCATCCGCCTTGCTCTGCAGCGCATTGCTCTGCCCCGCGTGGCCTCCCGCGCCGTGCGTGTCGCTCCAGTCGCCGCCGCTGCTCGCATCGCGACCCCTGTGCGTGCGTTCACCGCGAGCGCCCGTCGCTTCGACGCTGGCGAGTCGGACGCGGAGCTCGCGAGCAGTCTGCAGCAGGAAATCGAGTACGAGCGCGAGGCTGCCGCGGAGACCGGTGGCGCCGTGCCCGACTGGCTCTCGCAGTTCAAGAGCGAGGGTGTGTGGCAGATCGAGGACCGCCCCGGCTCGGACGAGGTGGCGCTCACGCGCCAGTTTGGCAACGAGCACATCCGTGTGCTTTTCAGCATTGGCGAGATCGACACGACCGACCCTACGAACGAGCTCGAGGCTGACGAGACGGAAGACGTGGCCAGTGACGGCGAGTTCCACGGCTCGTTCCCTGTCCGCTGCGCGATCAGCATCGCCAAGAACGGCGCTGGCTCGCTCAACATCGACGCCCAGGCCGCCGACGGCCAGTTCGTGGTCGAGAACGTGACCTTCTACCAGGACGACAAGCTGGCCACTGCCCTCACCGCTGAGGCCGACTGGGCGCGCCGTGGTCTCTACATCGGCCCCCAGTTCGAGACGCTGGACGAGAACGTGCAGACGCACTTTGAGAGCTACCTGGCCGAGCGCGGCTTTGCCACGAACCTCGCCCTGTTCATTCCTAGCTACGCCGAGTACAAGGAGCAGCGTGAGTACTGCGCCTGGCTCGAGAAGGTGCGCGCTTTTATCTCGGCGTAAACAGATCTCAGGGCCTTCCAATCACACCATCTTGTGCGCAGTTGGACGAGCGAATAGACGGAAGAGCATGCGGCGCACACGTGGCACAAGCATAAGAACGCCACAGAGAGCCACAAGTCCGACCAGGGGGTGTGCATTGGCCATTCCCTGTATCTCTGTGCCAGCCACACGTGCCTGGGCCATGCCGCGGTAGAGCAGGTTGCCATAGCTAAACGTTTCAATGGATGGGTCTCCCGGGACGGCACGTGCGAGCCATTCGAGCGCGCTGTGCTCGCTGGTGAATCTGCTTGCAGTGTAGCGGTGGTCACGAGGATGCGCGACCACAAGCACGCCGTCAAATGGCGGCAGCTCAATGTGGTGCTTATTCAGCAACACGTCGCGAGCGGTGCTCTCGATCCATGCGAACCGCGCCGCAGGACGGTTTCCGCTGCGCCACGCGATCGCGAGACGCCGGACGCGCTCAATCTCGGCCGGCGAGCTGTTCGGCAGGACGGCGAGGACTAGCGGGTGGCCCGCGGTGGCTGTTAGCAGTATGACTTACAGTACAGGATCTCGCGGCTGTTGGTGCCGCTCATCGCAGTCAGCGTCGGGTGCCACTCGAGCTCGAGCCACGCAGAGAGCTCGTCCTGGCCGAACGTGCCGCTGAAGCGGCCTGCAGGCACAGTGTACTGGCCATCCTTGAACACCATGAGCGCTGTTTGCGGGCCGAACCGCCTGCGCAGCGTCTCGTCAGTAGACGCCAGCGCAGTAACGCGCATGGGGAGGTTAGCAGCTGCGCGAGCAAGAGTGCCAAACGCCTTGTCGTCCTCGGAAACAAGGAGGAATGTGGTGTCGCGGCTGCTGCGCCGCGCGTCAAAGGATGCTGCGTCGACGGTGGTGACGCCCTTGACTGCGCCGCTGTCGATCAGCCAGCGATGCATATTTTGGGTGCTGCGCGCTCCTTCAAACGTAGTCTTGGTGCCGTTTTGGTAGAGATGCAGGGTCGGGAAGCCCTGGATACCGTGTGCATTGCACACGTCGGGGTAGTCAGGGCATGCGACGGCCACGACATTGATCTCGTCATGCACGCGTTCAGCCAGCTCCTGGAAGTCGGCGGCCATTGCCTGGCAGTGTGGGCACCATGCAGCGTAATCTCGTCAGCAAAATTTTCTTACATTTGACAAATGTTGCGCCCTGGCCATGCTCGGGTCCGACTAATTTGTCGAGAGCGGCCAAATCGGGGAGCGACTCGCCGCCAAATTCAATCATCACGGGACGTTCAACGATAGCAGCAGCAGCGGCGGCGGCGGAGCCTGCGGTGGCGGCGGCGGCACTGCTCGAGCCGGACGCAGCACCGCTGGAAACGCTCTCAGCTGGGAGCAGCCCCTTGGCCCTGTGGTACGTCGTCGACGCATTCACAATATACTGAGACACGCTCTCGAACGTCTGCTCCACGTCTGCGTCCTTGTCGGCAAGCACGCCATCGAGATAGAGTTGGAACGTGGGATAGCTGTTGATGTCCTGGCGCGTGCACAGATCCATCCACACGTCGCAGTTGACGCGTGCGAGCGTGAATGGGGCGCTCGGGAATGCAGTGCGGTGTGGCGCCATCTCGCGCTCGAGATCGGCCCAGACTGGCGAAAAGCGCTGGCACATGCGGCACTTGGGCCGGAAGAACTCGACGAACCATGCATTCGATTGTGTGAGGGTAAAGTTGCTTTCGTGCAGCTCGGTTCCGTCAGGGAACGCAGACTCTACCGGCGCAGCGCGAACAAACGCGCCGAGCACAGCCGCTAGGGCCCATATCGCCACGTGCATAAAGAACACTTGCCTCCACCCACCATGGACGCGCATGAGCGCGAGGTACGCCCGCCTGAAACTGACCCAGCTCGCCGACGCAACAGCGCACCTC